TTTTTGTTTTGTTTTTCAGCAGTGAATTTTATTCTCTTCATCATTCTGGTCTGAAGTTTAAATTAGCCAAATCTTAGCCTTAGCCCCCTTCTATCTCTGGCCTCCGGTCACCACCGTTCTCTGGTGCTCAAAATGCATAACCGGGGCTGGGGAGATTACACAGGGGAAGTGTCTGCTATGTAAGAATGCATTGCATCCATGCCCATCTCTAACCCCAGTGTGGAGGGGCAGGTCCCATGCTCTCTTCTCCCCCAACACCAAGCTCCATGTTCAGGGGACCCTGCCTCAAAAAAATAAGGTGGGGTGTGATAGGGTGGGTTACCTTTCACCCCTGGCCTGCACATGCACACAAATGAGAAAAAAAGAAAAAGAAAAAAAAAACAAAAAAACAAAAATGCTTGTCTAGGAGCTCCTAAGAAATAGAGAGAAGTTGACTGTCTCTGGCCTCTCACGCCACCCTTACACTACATTCCTTAAAAAAAAAAAAATGAATTTCTACATAATACAGAGTTTGGCTTTAAATGGGGAATTTAAATATCTAAATTGATTGTTTCTTCTTTGTAACAACCTGAAATTCATTAATACTATACCACCTAGAATCTGACTTAAGTCACTCAATATGAACCAGAAAAGAAACATGGAAACATTGACATTTACTGCAAAATAGCCAAACTTTCGGGAACCTGTATACCTACCTATTCGCTGAATTATAAACAAACAAACAAACAAACACTTATTCCAGAAAAATACTGTGGGAAAAGTATACATGATTATCTTTTCTTTTTGCACAGCTACATCTCTAGCCTGACAATTCTTAACATATAAACATAGTTTCAAATCTAAATCCATTTCTCAGTCCCCTCCTCATTCCAACCAATTCTTTCTGTGAGTTTTTTTGTCATAATGGTGATTAATTACTTCTACTTTTGTTGGAAATGTTCTTTTTAAAATCATCATTCACCTTTAAAAGAAAAAGATGCCAGGTTCTGGGAGCTATAATAATGACCTGCCTACAGGATATGGTCACTGCTGTAGTAATGGCATGAACGCTAGAGGAGTAACCAACCACCTTTTGATCGGATTTAGGGTCCATGAGACAGAACTTAAACCTGATATTATTAATGAGGCCAAGAACCCAAGACTAGGTAGGTCATAGACCCAGAACAAAACCTGCTACTATTATCCTGCTAAATAAACACAACAATAAAACTCCTAACGATATACTGCTATAGCCATAGGCCAGTGCATCACTCAACCCTGTTAACGCTGAGACTCACAACTGGACAATGTGTAGACAGTAAAAGCCTTTAGAGTACTTAGCCCTAAGTAGTCTGTCTTCTTCACACCCTTCCCCTCAAGGCTCAGAGATGTATGTGCAAAAAGGGGCAGAAAGATTCTAAGAGCCGGAAATAGCGCATAATTTTAAGGAAGCAACTTTTTCCAGACACACGCAGGGTAGATGCACACATAACTCACAGAGACTGTGGCAGCAGCATCTACAAAACCTACACAAGCTCAAGTCAGACAAATCCCAGGACATAGGAAGGGAAGTGGGCACAAATCCCCATCCCTGGCCAACATCCCTTTGCAAATGAAAGCGGGGAGAGGGAAAACCATTTTCTTCAGTGGAGTGGCACTAAGATGGCCAATGCAAATCCAACTCCATGTTTTCAGTGGCTGTTTCCTGTGTGTATGTGTGTGTGCAATGTTTAAAACTTGTTAAACTATATCTTTATCCTTTCTAAAAATTAATTAATTCATTTATTTTACATCCCAGCTGCAGTTTGCCCTCCCTCCTGTCCTCCCAGTACCTCCCCCACCCCCCG